CCCGGAATTGACTGGGAGAGTCAAAAGCTGCAACACGGAGGTCATGGCGCGAAGTGGCTCGGCCTCTATGATATCCTGTGAAGATAGTCGCGATTCGCGAATTGGTGGTAAGCAGCGGTGGCTGTGTGATGGCTCTTCCGATTTGGGCGAGCATTACGCGTCTTGTCTCTTGCTTTCACCATGGTACGTGTTTTTCGCTCCCTTGACCTGCCGAAACTCATCCTGAGGGTATCCATAGCTTCTCAGAGTTAGGTCCAAAGACGGAAACTTTCGATTTGAGTTTGCGCCCACAGCCGACATTTCAGAGTTGTTGGCCAAAGTTCGTGCCTTGCAAAAAGAGTAAATCCAAGACTGACGATCCTTCTAGATCCTGGAAACAGCTCCGGATGCGGATCCATCGAGTTTTACCATATCCAACCAACCTCGGGGAAACGAAGCCCAGTTTTCGAGTTTGAAAGGTCGAACGTTGCAAAGTCTGGGTCTCAGGTGTGTTTTCGCCTAGCATATCCTGAGCGCGTCTAATGTTGTTGAAGCCACACTGATTTAGTATTTGTAAACTATCAATCCAAGGAGGCTTCTGCGTCGAGTTCTTCCCCTCAGCCCATTGCCGCTGTTCCCGAAACGACGCGGTTATGGGAGACTGTGAAGGAAGATCCGGTGGATGTCTATTGGCGATCCCAAGACGGCAAAATTCCTCGCAGTCGCGATGCTCGGTTCTGCACTCACGCAGCAAACGGAATGTGCGATTATTGCATGCCTCTTGAACCCTACAATGCCCTTTACCACAAGGAACATGCAATCAAGCATCTCTCGTACCACGCGTATTTGAAGCAAATTACCCCGAAATCGACTGTGTCCGCCACATCATCCCTCCCTCCGCTCACTCCGCTTTCCTACAAAGTGAAGGTGCCTTGTCCCAGCGGCCACCCATCCTGGCCTGCCAGCATTTGTACATCCTGTCAGCCCTCTGCTATAACGCTGCAGTCCCAGCCTTTCCGAATGATCGACCATCTCGAGATTGCCTCGACTGACGTGATCGACCGTTTTCTGCATGCCTGGCGGTCCACTGGTTTCCAACGTTTTGGCTGGTTGATTGGGCGGTATCAACCGTACGACAAGGTGCCAATGGGTGTTAAAGCTGTGGTCGAAGCCATCTACGAACCTCCGCAAGAGGGAGAGCTCGATGGCCTCACTTTGGGTTTACCTTGGGAGGAGGAACCGCGTATTCGGGAGCTGTCTGCCTCGGCCTCGACGCCGCTAACTGTAGTTGGATATATCTTCACCGATCTGACCCCAACGACCGAGGATCGAACAAAGAACGTGTACAAGCGACATCCTGGTTCCTTCTACATGTCATCGTTAGAGGCAATCTTCGCTGCTACTATGCAAAAATCCAACCCGACGCCTTCGAAGTCTTCACCCACGGGCCAATTTGCTTCAAGGCTGGTCACCGCCATCCTGACTGCCACCGAGGATGGGCAAGTAGACATTGCTGCGTACCAGGTTTCTGAACAGGCCTGTGCCATGGTTGAAGCAGACATGATAGAAGCGAGTGTCGACCCGGGCATCGTTCGAGTAAAGGAGGAGGATCGAACACAGGACTCGGCGAGATATGTGCCTGACGTCTTTTTCTCGTTCAAGAACGAGTATGGGCTCGAGGTGAAGAAGACCGCCAAACCGGCCTTCCCCGTTGAATACCTTTTGGTTAATGTTAGTTTGAGAGCTTCCGGCTCGGAGAATTCTGAAGACCCTGACTATCTCTTGTAGGTGACCCACGGCTTCCCACAAAATCCGTCGCCGTTGTTCCAGTCTTCGAGGTTTGCTATTGAGAACCGGCCTGGTTTGGAAGATCAGCGTATCGAAGGCGTAATCAGTACTCTCGCCGGGCTCGATGCGCCGAATATTGTGGATAGCCGGGTTGCCAAACCTGGGGAGGCCCACAAGCGGAGGGAGCTGGCAACATGGCTGAGCGATTGGCATCTTGTCGCTTTTCTGGACACGACTCAATTGTTTTCCCCGGTGAGTGTATTGGAGATTTCTCTGAAGCGACTAAAAAATCTTCAGGAGGATGTGAAGCTGATGATGCGCATAATAACGTCGCCTACCTGTTGGAGGACCTCAGTCAACTGGACCCTTGCTGGCACTGAAGGCTGGAACACGCTGATGACATTTACGCGGGAGACTGGATGTAGTTTTTTTTTTGCTTCAGTTGCTATATTTCCCTTGTCTGATGTTGGCCAGCCGCTCGGTCGATGCCGTCGTCGTCGAGAGATGAAGATATCCCGCAGGAGGTTTTCGACCAGATCGCAGCCGAAGAAGCTGCTGCGCGGGGGAACGGAGGAGACGGTGGAGGATCCAGCTCCGGTATCAGGATCTGTCCTCATTGTACTTTCGAGAACGCGCATCGTGGTACTGATTGTGAGGTTTGCGGCTTACCATTGTAGTAAAATGAAGCACGTTAATTCGCGTACAAGTTACAATCAATAGAAAACAGACTGTACAGTAGACCACGATTAAAAACGTGCATAAAAAGCTGCGAGTGTTTCTAGCTTCTACTGTCCAAAAATCCACCAAGTAGCGAACGCAAGTCCGAAGAGGACGCCCAGTGCGCGTGCGACTATGACCACAACAAGTGCCTTGCGAATGGCAGCATAGAACGTGCTCAGCGCAGATCCAGACCAATTTATTCTGATTGGCCGTGAGTAAGCATAGGTACGAACAAATCCAAAAATGAACGAACCGGCGGTCATTTGTACCTCCACCTCTTACACTGGCCTCCCAGCCACGCACGATCTCCCTATACCGCTTACCAAACACCCTAGTATTTTGAAATGAGCATGTTTCATCACGTAGATTTTTTTGTAAACACACCATATCCAAAAATTAACGTCAGGGTATGAAAATCGCGGAAACACGCTCGCCAAACTAGGCGCGACGACGTCCATACGCATGCCATCTACCCCAGTTTGATACGGAAGCTGCACCATTGGTGATATCGGCGATGATGATCCCGAGTTGAGTTTGTGGGCCTCGGAGTTGTTCCGCATCGAGGAAGGTTGCGGTAGGACCATGTACGACATTAGGTCGAGGGTCATACCCAGAGACAAACCCCAGAGTTTTAATTTCTGCGGCCTGGTGGACTGCCCCTTCTCCAGAATGTCGATGTTTGGTTTGCCGTCCGGGGTAACAGACGGGGGTGACGAAGGTTGCACAATGATCGCGGGAAATTCCATGCTGCCTACCAAGACCTGGACGAGGAGGCGCAATGCAGTGGAATGCTTCGGGGCGAGACGAGAAGCGGCGTCAACAGTGACGGTGGACCACTTCGGAGGAGCATGCGCAGAGACGAGCGATGCCAGGGAGGTCCAGTGCAGGGTGGTCGACGCCGTAGGATCGGGCGGTGGGGCATGGGGCGTTAGTTGAAGGAAAACGAAGGGAGAGAGGATCATTAAGAGTCGTTTTCCTAATGATGTCGTTATCTCTCTGTCATCCAGCTGTCCGATACAAGTATAGTCTTTCTCGGCGAGGTCAATGCCTATCTCCTCCCACGTCTGCCGCATTGCTTCAATGCGGTAACGTCAGCTAAAAAAATTGTGGGTTGGGGTATAAACGACAGACATACCGGTATAGAGACCACCTTCGTCGTCCGCTTCCGTTCTCCCGCCAGGAAACGCGACATGGGCCTCGTGCGTATTGCGCAGTCTGGACATACCCGAGTCTTCTGGCGCGGGATTTTCACGCTGCAAGAAGAGGATCTCGGGACGTGCTGCTGGATCCTTGACCCAATCTAGCTCGAAGAACTGGGAGAGTGTGACAGGATTTGAGGACTCTTCGGGAAAGACCGCATTTGGGGCAGGAACGACGCGAATGATCAACGACACAGCGGCTCTGCGTGGCTCTGAAAACGTGCGATAAATGGTAGACTCGAGGCCGAGAAGTCGGAGAACGCACGAGTGGGAGGCGACGCAATTATGCGCGGCGGAGTGGTGCGTATTCGGTGGAGGGCTCGAGAGAGCAAAGGAACGACAGATATTGGTTTTTCTAACCGAACATCAGTAAAGGAGAGCGAAGTTGTGGGGGAAACATACCAGCCATGGAAGAATGGGAAAAACAGACAATTGCCTTTCCCCAAGCGATCGTGGGTCACCCCATAAGAATAGCACTGCGGCACGTGCAGCTCTTCCTACTTCATTTTTTTCACTCGTTCGTGAAAAAAACTGCAAGAAATCCGCTCCAGTCTTCCATGGATGCTAAATAGCCTCTACTCACGGGTCAAGATGAGATGACTCCCCTTTTGATTGGGATTTTCGATGCATATTCAAGTGTTCAAGTTTGTCACACGACTGCTTTGGTCATGGCGGACGAAAGTCGTACCACAGTGGAGGAGGGTCTGTGGATAAAAAGATCTGGTTTAAATATCTCGCAGGCCCGTGGCTATGTTCAAATGATGCCAGCAGTCGAACCGGGCCGCAGCCATCGAACAGCGCTGATATCCCGGATGCAGTACTTACTTAGCTCTAACGAACACAATATCATGGAGTTATATACCCCCCCCCCCAAAAAAAAAAAAAAGAATAACCAGCAGACCAGCGAGAGCCAATTCTCAGATCTCAGCCCAAGTGACCAATAGAGGGATTCAAGTTCTGATTCAAGTAGAAGGATATTATCGAGCTTCGCTGTCTACTACCTTCAGTCCACTAACCTGAAAATTGACTAGTCTTCTTCCAAGGGCGAAAAGTCAAAGGCTCTCACTCAAGTAAGATGCTGCTTATCCCTGTTTGTCCACTACGCTCGCAACCTAAAAAGGAAATTATTCCCAGAATCCTTCTCCTGCGTCCATTTCAACTTGAATTGAGTTGGAATGACGATGAAAAACCAAATATAAGCTTCCCATAGATCTTGTAGAGATTGAGCGCATTGTTAGAGCCCTTCCAAGCCACTCTTGACATTGGAATGCTAAGTTCCGGCATATTGACACATATGTCTCTTCCGTCCACGTCGGTTGTGTAGTGTAGTGGTTATCACTCGAGATTTTGACAAAAATCAGTCTTATATAAGCCGATTTCTCGTAACCCCGGTTCGAACCCGGGCACGACCTTGACTTTTTCCTTTTTTCTTTCTTTTTTTTAAACACCCTTTTTTCTAGAAGGAATTCATTTCCACATTCCGCCAAAACGTACATCTGAGGCTGAACTTGCACGGTCCTTCGCGTTAATCCTTCAAGTTATGCGATCAACATTATCTTTGCTCTTGGCCGCGAACTACACTAGCAAATTCCTTATTTTGAGGGCCCGAGGCTTAGAATGGTTTCATGGAGAAGATCTCTCTGACATCACTGCCAACAGGCAGAGGTAAAAATCCAAAACGGTTGAACGCCTAAAGCAAATTTAGACCACTTTGTGCTAATGAATCATCGATGAGCGCTGAGCTGCATTGATGACGGTGGTTTCCTTTTTGACAGCCGAGCACAGCAGTGGAGCTTCTTTACTTCTCGGAAGTTGGTTCCTGGAAGTTTAACGGTTCAGGCAAAGTCGACTTGTCAGTCCCCATATTTTAGATGAGAAGGATTTCATTTCATTATTGGCGTTAAAAGCACATCAGAGCTCTGCCCACCCACCGTCCGCCTCGTCTCCACCACTAAACAGGGCGAGGCCAAACATAATAATACTCGCACCCAACCGCATCCCCAGTCCACGATACAACTGCGCGATGCCGGTGCTCTTCATCCAGCTCTGCTCCTCGCCGTCCTGCGGAGGAGAAGAAGCCTCCGCACCCGCGCGCTCCTTCCCCTTACTCAGCCGGCGTTTTCGCTTCTTCTGCGCCGCGATCGGCAGGTCCGACCGCTCCTCAGTGAGAATATGCCAGAACGCATCGACGACGCCGTTGTACGGCGCCGGCCGCAGCTCAACGCACCCTTTGATGGGCTTGGCCGTCCCACGCACCTGGACCTGCAGCCGTCGGCGGACGGTCTCGAAGGCAGCGTGATGAGGAGGCCGAGACAGCTGCCCGCGAGCTCGGCGAAGCCCCACGCGACGGGATTAGCGTCTTCGGTGATTTGCGCGCCGACGTAGGACGCGAGGACCCCGGGGAGGACGAAAGAGACGATTGGGGGAGGAGGTTGTCGATGATGGTGGGGATGAGGAGGTGGGGGTGGAGGTAGATGCCTTTGAGCCCACCCTCCTCGCGGAGGATGCGGGAGAGTGCGTCGAAGGGACCAGTGTAGGTGAGATGGCGGGAGGAGAAGGATTGAACGATCAGGCGGGTTCGTACCAGATCAAGGGGAGAGAGAATAAAGCCCATGATGAGATGCGACAGCACTGGGAGGAACATTGGGGGTTGGTAAAAGACGGCATTTGTTGGAAGTAAGAGGGCCTGAAGGAGACTGCGGACCATGGGTTGAAAGGTCGATGAGAGGATTTCGGTTATGCAGGACGTTAGTAGACCTGTCAAATGTAGGTGAACGGGTCAAAGACGAGGAACGGTTGTTGTACCTTTCCACAAAGCCAACCATCCCTCGCCCCGGAACCGACCTACTCGTCTCATCATGCCCCATACGCCATTGGCGCTGCCTACGGGAATGATGTATTCCGGGCGGGTACCCTCCTCAAGGACAGAGCGGCGGACAACATAGCCTTGCTCATCTGTCTGCCGTGACGCGGAAAACCCAATGTGCGGAGTGGCATTTGGATCAGTAAAGTAAGAGTCATTATCATCATTCGAGGAGTCGCTCAACTAGACAGTGTGAGCAATAAAATCAGACAGCTGACAAAAGACCACAGACGGCATCGTCGTTATCTTCGGCGATTTCTGGGGGCTCGGGGTCGCCGGCATCCCGTGGAACCCACTGAACCTGGAGGAGTAATTTGGCGACCTCCCATGGCATTGCAATAGCGGTGCTTGTGTACTGCAAGACTGCGGATGCGGCCAAGGTTTTGAGGAGATTTATGGGGTCGATTCCATCTGAGGGGTCTGCTAGTTCTGGGGCGAGGTCAAAAATGGAATTGTGGGATGGTCGCGAGGACCATTGATATGGCTGTGCTGTAGGAGGGGCTGTGAAGAGGAATTTGAGGGGATGGCGGGAATGGACTGGACAAAGGACCAGGCGGAGGAGGGGTCACTGTAGAGACCCCGAAGAGACGCAGAGGAAGAAGTCATGATGATCCCATTACAATGGCCATTTGGGACTCGAAATTTGATCCAAAAAGTTGTTTCTTTCGAGTTTCTTGGTTCACACTAGCTTCTGGCTTGCACGGTGCAGGTGTAGGAGATGTATGCAGAGAGGCAAAAGACTTGTTGTAAATTAATTAAATAATTAAATAATTACGGGAGTAATAGAAAGACGTCATGGCATAGGATCCACACCATAAATAGCCGTCAGCCTCGCCTCTTCTCGTACATACTTGTTCTCCTCCAGGATGGCCACCCCTCACAACGGCGACCCCCAGAAAGAGGCAGATGCCCTCATGCAGAACAACGGTCGCGTCGCCGTCCATTCCTTTGACCCAGAATCAAAACCCTCTGAAAAGGGTGCCGCAGCTGGCAAGGCCAGAGACCAGCTCAAGAGCGTCAAAAACGACTCGGGGCCAGGTGCACGAGGTATCTCGTATCCTCTTTCTCTCTCTTTCGCAGCATACTCACGTCTTTCGCAGAGCTCACAATCGAGACTGGAAAGTCCAATGTCGTCCCCACTATCACCGTGGAGGACACGTCCGCCGAAAGGTCCCCAGATGCTGCGGAGCACCACGACGACACTCCCCAGCCGCCCGGGGCCCTCCCCACTGCTCCTGCTGGCGCTATTCCAGATTGGTATATTGTTGGCTGGCGGCAGGCATCTGGCATTGATGCTGCGCCCCTGGCCGAAGGCGAGGAACAGGACAAAGGTGTCCTGGATACCTTCCTTGGAGAACAGTTCTACGGTAGCTGGTACCACAATGCCGCCCTCATCGTCTTTGTAGGTCCACGCATTTTGCTCCGTCCACTTGTGAGACTCACAGGCACGGGTTTATTTTAGGCTGTGTTCGCTTCACATTTCTTGACTCGCTTCAATTTCGGTTGGGGATGGCTTTTCATCATCCTCGCCATTTGCAATACGTACTACAGCGCGTCTATGCAACGCTTCCGCCGCTCTGCGCGCGACGATATTCAGCGCGAACTCGTCAAAAACCGCCTCTTGTCAGAACACGAGTCCGCCGACTGGATAAACAACTTTTTGGATCGTTTCTGGCTCATCTACGAGCCTGTCCTTTCTGCCACCATCATTTCTTCCGTCGATCAAATTCTCAGTACCAATACCCCAGCATTCCTTGATTCTCTTCGCTTGACTCAATTTACTCTTGGTACCAAAGCCCCTCGAATCGACAAAGTCCGGACGTTTCCCAAAACTCCAGACGATGTTATCATGATGGACTGGGGCATCTCCTTCACCCCGACCGATAACTCTGACCTCACACCGAACCAAGCTGCAAACAAAGTCAACCCGAAAATCGTCCTCTCCGTCCGAGTCGGCAAGGGCCTCGCGACCGCTTCCATGCCTATTTTAGTCGAAGATATCACCTTCAGCGGCCTGATGAGGATCCGTATGAAACTCATGTCCAACTTTCCCCATATCCAAATCGTCGACATTTGTTTCTTGGAAAAGCCTGTGATTGATTACGTCCTCAAACCCGTGGGCGGCGAGACTTTCGGATTTGACATTGGCAATGTCAGTTTATTTTATTTTACGCATTGGCTAGGATAACTGACCTGCAATTTCAGATTCCCGGGCTTTCGAGTTTCATCCGCGAAATGACCCACGGTACTCTTGCGCCGATGATGTACGATCCTAATGTTTTCACCCTGAACCTGGAGCAATTGCTCTCCGGTGCTCCTCTGGATACGGCCATTGGTGTCGTGCAAGTGACAGTCGAATCTGCACGCGGATTGAAGGGTACCAAGATCGGCGGAGGAACCCCCGACCCGTATATTTCGTTGAGCTTGAACAACCGTGAAGAGCTTGCTGTCACCAAGTACAAGAACAATACGTATGTTTTCCACCCCGTGTCTTTCCTCTTCCGCTCTAATCGTTTTTGCTAGGTACAACCCGACTTGGATGGAGACCAAGTTCATTCTCGTCAACTCGCTCAACGAGTCTCTTATTTTGAGTCTGTACGACTACAACGACCACCGCAAAAACGCGCTTCTCAGCAGCACGAGCTTCGAGCTTGCCCAGCTGCAGGAAGATGCCACCCGCGAAGGTATCGAGGCAACTCTGCTGAAGGACGGCAAGGAGAGAGGTATCCTGAGATACGATGTTTCCTACTACCCCGTCATCAAAGCCGAGGAAGGCAAACCAGAGCCCGACACAAGTAAGTACCACCCTCGGTGAAAGTCGAAATATTCAATTTTTTTCCCCTTCAGCCGTCGGCATCGTGCGCCTGACGATCCACCAAGCAAAAGAGTTGGACCAAAGCAAGTCGCTGTCGGGTGACCTCAATCCTCTCGCCAAGCTCTACCTCGGAGACCCCAAGAACGCGGTCTTCAGCACGAAGCTCTTCAAACACACCAACGCCCCTGTTTGGGAGCAGGCCTACGAGTTCTTGTGCGCCGACAAAGCGGAGTCCGTCGTCATGATCAAGGTTATCGACGACCGCGACTTCCTCAAGGACCCCGTGGTCGGCTACATGTCTATCAAGCTGCAGGACCTGCTCGACAGCAAGGCGGAGGCTGGCCGCGACTGGTTCCCGCTGAGCAACTGCAAGAGTGGCAAGATCCGGCTGTCGGCCGAATGGAAGCCGCTCAACATGGCCGGGAGCCTGCACAGCGCCGACAAGTACGTGCCGCCCATTGGAGTCGTACGGCTCCATCTGGACAAAGCCACGGATGTCAAGTATGTTATTTCTGCATTTATGTGTTATGCGTCGTCGTTTACCTGGCTTTAGGAACGTTGAAGCTACGCTCGGCGGCAAGGTAGAGCATTTCGTGGTTCAACGTGGATCGTCGCTTATCATCGAGTTGTAGAGCGATCCGTATATGCGGGTGCAGATCAATGACGTTACCAAGGGCAGAACCGAGGTCGAGAACAACAGTATGGCCTTTCGTCTAACGGTCGGTCTGGTACTG